GGGGAAAAGGTCAACAGAAAAAAAAAAAGTAAAAATATGACAAAATGATTTTGCACGTTTAACCCTTTGGGGATTGAGTTTGGCAAGAGGCTCTGAGGGGTTGTTTCCACCACTTTGGGTCGAATTTGGGGTCGGAACGGCACGAGCTCCCCAAAGGGTTAATTAGGATCTACAAATACTACTAAGGAATAGACAGTAAAGTTTGATCTGTTAGCCTGGCATATCAATGCTCTACAGCACCCAGCACTCACCAAGGTCCTTAACAGCTACCAGAGGGTCTCAAACAGCTGGTCACAAACAGCATAACTACACAAAGTGCTACTTGCAAACCAAATGATGAGCAATATCCAGCTAGGAACTGTATCTTTACAAAAAACAGCGGTGTTCAGTGTCTGAATCCTGACATTTATGCCTTTATCAGTTATCTCGAGTATTAATGGAGGATTTTAATCTAGGGGTTCATGGTTTCATATACAGGGTTCATGGTTCCCAAAACAGAATTAATTGAATTTACAAGCCATTCTGAATATTTTAGGTATATGATGTTAATTCAGCAGAGTAATAGGATGACAGAAACCACAAATACTACGGAAAAATTTCAAGGTTAGCATTGTTTGGGCAAGGCTCAGTTGTCCATCCCTTATACAGCTGACTCTGTCTTTAAAAAGGAAGTCTCACTTACCTTTAGATGCTTCTCAGACTTCCTCTCCAGATAGATCACTTGAGTATTATACATTTTTCATTTATTCACAGCAATTTCACAGAACAGCATTTTTAACTTTTAAGAATAATGCCTCAAGGACAGGCTACTGCTGAAAGCCACCTCAAAAACGGTGGTTTTGGTTCATGGAACATCAACTCCTGCTACGCAGTGCCCAGTGATGTCTGGTTAGTTACTACCCATGTGTACAGCAGAAAATACTCAAATACCCATTTGGAGGGAAGGCTTTGGATTCCTTTTCCTAACACTTCTCTTGTTTCCCATCCCACACCATCATAAAGTCAGCAAGTTGCTTCATTCTTTTCCATGGGAAACAAAACTGATCCATGCACCAGACAGGAAGGGAAGCTTCCTCCTGCCACCCCCCCTTTCACTGGGTGTCAGCACTGCTGCTCCTCCACACAGAGCTCTGCAGTGGAACACAGAAAGCAATTTTTAATCTTTAAAACCACACTCTGCACCATCATCTAAGACAGAGGTGTCTGAGAAGGAAAACAAATGACATTTCTGCTCTGCAAAGTACAGTGCAGCTAAATGCAGCTCCACTGTAAGTTAAACCCAAGTCCAACTCACCACCTCTGTGTTAAATGATGGATGCTACCCTAGCTTGTGGAATACACATCCTAAACTCACTCCATGTGCAGTTGCAACATAATTAGGCAATTCTCTGCAATGTTATAATGTACATTCATTTAGACTTCAGATACTTGCCTCCGTTAACTACTCTTTGATCTGCTCCAGAGTTTGGGCTGAATTCTGAAGTGTGGGATCCAGACCTTGAGATTGGTGGGCCTGAGCCAGACTGGCCCATCCTTGGTGAGTTTTGTCTTCCACTTCCCCAGGACAGGACATCTCTGTTCCTCTGTCCAGGCGGAATGTATTTATTTTCTCTGAAACACAGTAAACTCCTATCAGTCTTAAGACAGAACTGAGAGGCACCAAAAATACCTGATGGAGTGCTCTGCTGGTATTTTTTAATCTTTCTCAGATCAAGCTAAAGGAAAATATTAAATACTATCAGATGTTGACCTAACAGTCACCTCATGAATTGGCTTTTGATAGTGACCACACAGTCCACTTTATGAGCCCCCAGACACTGAAGGATTCAGTTGTAATGCCTGAAATTCTCCATGACATACCCAAACCACTGCCCTTTCCTGTAATCTGGTACGAATTCACCATGGTGACAGATCAGAATGGGGAAGTCTGTTCCCTACAGAGATAATGCAGGGCCAGGCAGAGGTGTACAAGTCAGCCTGGGTGCCAAAACCAGCACAGGATTGTTTACACAAGGTTCCCAACCTGATCAGCCCTGCTGGAAAAGCTCAGTTTCAATGAGCAAACTGCTACAGTCCCAAAACACCGCCATAATTTAAATAAAAATACTATTCATAGTGTATCAAGTACCTAGTGTTCACACCATGTCCTTCTCTTTCATTAGCATTTCTCTGAACAGCAGTATATTTTTCTTCTTCTGTCCTTTCATCATTTTCCAAGGCAACCCGAGCTTTGTATTGGGCACTTGATTCAATTTCCTCTGCTAATTGAGTTGCTCTGGCTTCCCGTTTTAAAAACTCTTCTGAATTATCTCTTTCTAATGGCACCCTAAAAGACAATGGAAAGGAAAAGAATCTCTGAAATGCATTCAAAAGCACAAAGGAGCTACAAAAATTACACAGTGTTAGTTCTAAACAAGTCAAGAGTGAAAAAAACCTTGCTTTTAAGCCAGCAGACTTGCTGTCTTTTTTAGTGTGACGATATTCCTGGACTGGTTTGATATTATGTGCAAATTCAGTGTCTTTTACCTGCCCAGAGAGCTGAGGTCAGAGAGCAGAACTTTTCCACATGACTTGCAAAAGTCCCAGTCCCTAAAGCTGTGCAAAGGCTCCAACTTTTAACATGGTTCAGAACATCAGGAATAAAAAGCATCAGTCTGTTGTCTGCTCCAAGAGCCCAAATTTGAATTTTTTTAGCTATTTACACATTGCCAGCAGACACAATCCTACTGAAATTAGAGAGTTACATCCTTAATCCTTTGGTAATTCCAGCCATAGAATTTTCAGCTCTTCCTGTTATGAATAACTGCAGAAAAGATGAGTGCAACAGCTGAAAGCACAGGACCAGAAGTCCATGACTTCTCATGTCCCAGGACCTCAAACCCACTCATTCTATGTATCCCTCTATAGCAGGTAATGGCATATTGCAGAAAGCATCCCTTGGGAAAGGCACTGAGTCAAAATTCAATACATGAGCACTGAAAGACATAACTAGAGATGGGATTGTACCTGGCACCTCCTTCTGTCCACCCTTCTTGTTTTTCACCTGTCCTAATTTTTGTTCGTGTCAGGTTTTACAAAAACCCTTTTTCCCCTGATTTTGAGCTGCAAAAGTTGTTCCATCCAACCTTACTTTAGAATAAACTCCATAAAAACACAGACCACAGCTGAGGTTTGGCCCATGCTCTGCTGGGCATTATATAACCACTACTCCTCATATTTTGAATCATATACAGAAGAAAACCAAAGAAAGCAGGTGGAGATACAAGCCAAGTATGTAATAATATATGCAAAACTACTCAAGTGTTGGTGGCAGAACTAGGAAAACAAGTGGCTTTGCCAAATTCCAAGCCAGCACTCGGCCACTGCATCGCAAGTTTTTTCCCCACACACGTATTTTTGGCCAGTCAAGACATCTACTGACCTTATCAATGGGAACTGCAAGGATATTAAATCAAAACCTCGCCCTTCAGCATAAAGCCTTGGCTCAAATAAGGTTTGCATGAACACAAACCTGGTCATGAGCCTCACTGACCTTGTGTTGGGAACATAAGGAAGGAGAATACCCAGTAATCCTCATTTATCTAAAGTGACTGAAGAAAAGGAAGGGATGTATTGCAACCTAACGGGCAAAGATTGATTTTGTGTTTTCTAAGAGATGAGAGAAAGGGGATGCACAAGATGACATTGTTCAGAGCCCTGGTGATGACAGAAGCAGCTGATTAATACATTTACTGAACCCAAACTTGTACCTTGATGCACTTTGACAAACTATACCTGCTAATGCTTAGCTCTAGCAAGAGAAAACAATCAAACAATAAATCCTTTACAATCCTGCAGCTGCACATCTAAGCATTTATCAACACTGCTGCTCATCACAGAGTTGGAAAATCAGGAAAAGAGCCTCCCAGTTGCAAGTTGCTTGACTAGGAAAAAAAAATAGAATTAATTTAAAGCCACCTTCACGTTTTTAATCTGTTTCCATTAATATCCAGAGAGCAGAAAGATGGAAGACTAAAGTTCAAAAGTACAAAAAGTACTTAGAGCAGTGAAGGGAAGGAAAGAACAGCTTCCCCAGGATTCAGACATAAGCCGATTAGGACACTTTGATTATCACCATGTTACAGGTCTGTTTGAACCAAACAGGAAAATCAAACTGCTGAACCTGTAGACAAAGTGCACACCAAAAAATCAAAATATCCACTGCCATTCCTTGATATTCAAAAAGAAGTTTCTGCTCTGGGGGTTAAAAGAGTGGGGAAACACTAAAGACATTTCACAATGGCTGCTGAACATCTGCAGTCCATTTGTGTTGCAGTTGCAGTGAACATTATAGCTGCAGACTATTGGGAATAAATCCACACTGCCAGAGCAGGCTTTACACTACTTCTATATCACAGTTTTTATATTATTATTTATATATAAATTTTATAATTTATATTACATATCAGGATTGTCATTTATATTTATATTCCAGTTCTTATATTGTAACTAAAACTTTAGTTTAGAGCTGGACAAATCTGCTAAACAAGTCATCCCCAGCACACAACCCCCACCTCGGTTATCAGCAACTTTTCCACATTCCAGTATCTTCCAGATCAATTGTCTCAATAAAATTAGGATTTAGTCAAACTGTTCTGCTGGGTTAAACAAAACCTATAGGTACAGCAGCTACATAAAGACAAACTCCCAGTTTTCCACCCTATTCCTGGAATAAATAAGCATTATTACATGCCTAAATTCAGCAAACGTTGCAATGGGAATGAGCTGTGCCCATTTAAGGGAATATATAAAGATTTCTACATCAAACTATTCACAGAACGCTGGCAAGGTTTCTTAAGCACTATTCATTCATTGCTTTTTCAGTTATTTGAGTCCACAGCTTCACAAACTATGCAAAATTAGCTGCAGAATGTAAAGTTTGTCAAACCAGGGAGAACATTAAATACAAATCTAATAACAAAATATTTTGGAACTTACGTATAAGAAGATAAACTGCTGTCATAAGTTGATACTACACCATAATTTTCTTCATTGTAACGAAACATGTCATTGGGATCCCATCCATTAGACTAGAAGAAAATGATGCTTGTTTTTCAAAATGACACTGGAAACACATTCCCTTAAAATTAAGGGCTGATGGCAGAAGTTAAACCTTCTGCCTCTTTCCTGGGCCTATGCATTCACTGTCCAGATAACAAAGTTATAAAGCCACAATTTGTTTCGTGGAAATTTGCTCATAAGATGCAGATTTTACCTTCAAAAGCCAGTTTTTGGGTGTATTTGTGTGGGTTTTGAGGGTTTTTTCTAAATACATACCCACTCTATACTAGAGTAATACTGGCTAGCAAGAAATGCACACATTAATGTCTTTTTGCCTTTTCCAAAAGGTGCAAATTGACACTTCTGACTATTAGAAACATCTCTTGTTGTGGCAAGTGCTGCAACTTTTCAAATGCATTAATGTAATTACCTGAGACCCAGGAGAGGCTCAAGACTCCTGTTGATCTGCACAACCTCCCCCCTTCAGTAAAATTGCTGTTGCAGCACCCAAGCACAGCAAGAAATGTTTTGAATATTTTATAAAAGCACTGACAGTATTGAGTGTTCTAATAAATCCCAATAAACTGACAGAACTGTTCTACCCAGATATGCTCCACAGTAACAGGAGCAGATTCTCCTCTAATCAATAACATTGTTTAATATGCTGCAATCTGAATACCTTGCTAAAATAATGCATTCTTGAGTAAGAGCTGGCTATGATATATAAAGAAATGGCACTGGAGACCATACTCCTCATCTAATGGTTCATAATCTACTAAAATTGTATCTGTGCTTGGGTTCAGATTTCCATCCATTTCCCCATGTGAAGCCCAGGGACACTGAGCTGAGCACAATCTCCCCATCCTTTCCAAAAGCAGTGACAGTCAGGCAGGGATGCTCTGATTAAACATAAATCACTTTGCTGTATTGCTGAATTTGGAGGCCTTAACAAAAGCTGCTCTTTCTGCCAGTCCCTGAGCCCAACATGTCTCTCACCACAGCAGCTGCCATTTGTCAATATTTGCCACGAGTGGCATTTGAAATCCAGCTTTTCTTATTCAAATTGGTAAAAAGTACTGTGGCAGCTGCTGGCAAAGACTGAACATCCACCATCACAGTGCAGGACAGCGATTTTACTCCAAAGTTCATTACTAGATTAAAATTAAGGAATTCTTTCAAGGCTCCTTTTCAGAGAGCACAAAAAAGCAGCACTCACCACATCTGTCTCCAGTGCCTCGAGCTCCTCGGAAGCCGTGTTTTCTCCTCCATCCCATGGTTCAAGATCCTTTTCCTTGTGTTCTCCATTAACTTTAGCACTGATGGCTGAATCAGTAAAAGCATCTGCAACAGAGCAGGGAGGGATGGGGGTGAAATCAGTTGGAAAAGTACCCTGGTTTTTATCTGAGGAACAACCAAAAAACAGCTCAATAATCATCATTCCCCTTCTCTCGCAGCTGCTGTGTTCAACAGGACATTAGAAAGGTGCCTCCTTTAAATTTATAATAACTATGGAAGTCCAGACTGACTTCTAATATATCAAAGAACAGAATTATTTTCAGTTATTTCAAAATATTTTACACCAACTACATGAATATTTGGGGAAAAAAAGAGAAAAAAAGACTGAGGATCCCTGTTCTTCTAGAAAACCCAAGGCTTGTATAATACAATTTTCCAACCAGCCCACACAACTGCACACTAAAACATTGTGCAAATATCAAAAAAGCATGAACCCAATCCCATTCCCTGAATGGGTAAACTACAATTTTCCCTTCAAATATCTGAATTTTTTCTATTTCCACAACTCCTCAACACACCAACGTGCACACACACATTCCCTGGGACATGAACAGAAGTGTCTTCCCTCCTGACAAAGCTTTTCCAAGCAGCAGCTCACCCAAATCCCACGGAAATATTCAGGAACTCTCTCCCTTTTGCTCCCACCAACATATGAGAATAAATAACCAGAAAGGTTCCACTATTGTTTAAAGAAATTATGAAAACATAAAGAAAAAAAAAAAAAGACCACAAGCTATTTTTTTACTTGCTCATGTTTCATTCAAGCCAGACTTAAGAAGGAATAATACCAGAATATTAAAAATGCTGTATAAAAATATCTAAAGCCACTCACCAAGGAAGTCAGGCTTTTATATTTGTAAGCAACTACATCTCAGAGCTGCCATCCTTAAGCAGAACTTCAAAAAATCAAATTAGCCTGGTATAAGCTTTCAAATAAATAAATCAGCCTAATATAAGTCTTCAATCCAGAATTTCCTATTATCCTTTACTGATAAAATAAGGAGCAAACATTTCAGACCCTTAGAAAAGAGCTGCAATCAAACCACCAGGCAGTGCCAGATACAGAAAAACATGGCCTAAATTAACTTTTGGCAAGATCTAAAAATCTTCCTAAGAAAAATGGACTTTAAAGCTCTTATGAAAAGAATTCACAACATATGAAGTTGGCCACTGATGTAACAGCTTTTACACAATCACTGAAGATGTTCTAAAGAGAGGCTGCTGACACTGCTGATTATTCCTGTTTTACCCAATTTCACAGTGAAGTTCTGCATTTATTGGTATGATCTGGCATGAAAATTAACTGTGCTGAGCCTGTCTAATAACATCCAGCACTATCCCATGAAATGCTCACTCAACCCATACACAAAGAACTGTGGGGAAGCAATTAAACATTGTTAATGAGCTTTATGAAACAAAACGTGCCCCTGCCCTACCTATGTGCTGATCCCAAATTTCAATCACTTCAACTGTCCAGAAGAGCTAAAAACCCAGGCTGACAACAGAAATCACCAACTAACTGCAAGATTCTCTACATGATCCTGCCAAGTCCCACATGCACAAACAAAGAGATTAACTTTCTGTTATATATTATGGGAACAAAAGCATTATGAAAGGCAAGATGCAGAGACACAGTGACTGCCAAAAATTACCTGTTTCTGAAGGAACTACAACAGATATGGAGAGAGGAGGAGTTGAAAGACATCGGATCTAAATTCAGGTGGAGTTTTTTATATTATATGGCTGAATTCAGGCAGAGTTGAACTCTTGAGTTCCTCTCACAGAATTAATCAAACATCTCCCACCGTGCAAAGATCATTTTCATAGTAAAATCTCAGTAATGTTCTCACTATTAACAGTCCCATTTTGCTTCACAAAGGAACCCCAAATCCTCAAAATAACCCACAGATTTCTAAGTTATTCCAACTTGAAAACATCTCTTCACACAGAGACAAACAACTTCTAAAATATACTGTATTATAGTATATACTATATATATGTTCAAATGTCTTCTGAAACTACACAGCAACACAGTGCTACAATCCACAGTTAAGGAGTAGCTAAAAAGCACATTTTTAAGGCTCTTTTATTTGGAAACTCTGCATGTACCTTTTCAATACCCTGTAGTTAATTCTGCCTTAACCCAGACAAACCAGAGCTGCTCCTGTCCCAACCATTGTTAATTCATGTTTCAAGTCTGATCCACTCAGATTGGACATTTTACAGCAAATGCAAGTTGGAGGCTGCTCATGGCACTTTAAAAACTGTGAACTTTGTTTCTACCTCTCTGGGAGTAGAGGGAACTCTTCTCCACTGAGATTAGATAAATATGAGTTAGGAGGCCTAATGGAGACAATCTGTGTTTCACAGCACTGTTTCCTTCATTTCTATTAAATTCCTTCAGGCAAACTCCACACAACTGTGCCATTTTGGATACAGTGAATAAAATACCAGCTTAACAAGACTCATCTACTCAACCCACTAATTTTCTTATTTAAACAGCCACATAAACATCCAGCAGTGCTGTTATTGTAATGACACAGATGAACTGAGGGAAAAACGAGTCAAAACAAAAACTCCCCTATCTACCAAATGCTACAGGTCTGAATAAGATGTGTACAGTCACTGCTCAGCTTCCTAGTAGAATCCAGTGTATCATGGGGCACAGGAACCTTCACTACTCTGCATTTCTCATTTTAGAATGACAGTCACAAGCGAGACTGCACCAGTTTAACCTCTACAACTCAAAGAAAGTCCAGAGTTAGGAGAAATTCAAGCTACAAAGGCAGACTTCCAGTCAGACAATATGGTCTCCAGAGCATCCAGGCAAAGTTTAAATGTAGCAGAACGGTACCTCAAGGCACAGATCACTATTTTCCTGGAACAAACAGCCTGGCAGACACACGGGAGACCAAGATTAAAAACCAGCAAGTCAAACAAGCCTCCACCGAAATTAATGAGCAACGAGATTGAGAACGTATGTAAAAAATTCTAAAAATAAAAGTTTCCAAAACAAAAACACTGTTCTTATGATTATTAGCAAAGTAGGAGCTAAAACATGAGCTGCTGCTCCAAGTGCTGACTGGCAGAGTAATAACAGACAAGACACTGCACAGGCTCAGCCTCCACTTATCTGGTGCCTCTTATCTCTGAGCTGTTGAAGGAGCAATTCACATGACACCTTGACACGGCCAAATTTTTAATCAATCCCTTTTCTACACAGTAAAACCCAAGTTAAAGATCAAACAAAACCTGGTGAAACAAAGGGCTGGAGCTGTAACACTCAATTAGTCCCCACTGCCTCTGTACCTGCTTAATGTGACATTTCCTAAGCAAAGGAGTTGGGTATCAAGGATCTACTTCTGTTTTAAAGCCTGGTAACTGGAAAAAAAATCCCAAGGACAAGAGAAAATCACAGTAATACAAATCAAAAATATATATTCTGTGAAAAACTCAGCTTGGGTAAATTCTTCAAGCATGTGCCATTAAATTAGTTAAAGAAAAAAGTGCCAGAATAGAGCAATTAGGAGTCAGGGTTTAATTAACTTCAGTGTCCAATGTGCTCGTTCCCACAAACATATTTTGAGCTACTAATGGCGAAGAGCACAAATATGCAATTAAGTGCAAGTCTGCAGTTCAAATGCCATGAAACCCATCATTGCCAAAGGTGCTGATGCTCACACTGAAGCTTTGATCAAGCCTAAGCAAGGCCCAAAGTAAACTGAGCTTTCACCTTAAAGGTTTCAACAGTAAACTCTCATTTGTTTTGTAACTACTTACTACTGATTTGAAACATTAAAACCAGTTACCACCAGCTCTGCTGAGCCAACATTTCCTTCCTTTGTTCATAAGATGCCTACTGCTATTCCCCTTGCAACACTTTCCCTGGAAGGAGGCCACTTGCAGTGCTAACTCAAGGAAAAGCCTTAACAGCCAATTCTCTTCTGCCTTGTTTTTCATTGCATTTGTGATATTTTTCTCAGAGTGCAGCAACAGAGCCAAAACCCAATAAAAACATTGTAGAAATCTTTTACTTTAACAGTAGTTATGATGTTTCAATTGTCTTGTCTTTAAAGAGAAGCCAAGAAGGCAACTCCAAAGCCTTGGTGAAATTTGAATCATATGCAAACCAGCACTATCAGTGTTTAGGGCTCCAGGAAACACTGCTGGAAGCTTCTTCTGTAAAACCAGATCACGCAGCAGCTCTGAGATCTCAGCACTCAAGAGGTGAAGCAGAAAGATGTGACGTGTTAATGCACAGCCCAGGATTTCAACTTGCACCTCAGAGCGGGTCTGGAGCAGCTGATTTCCAGTGCATGTGCAGAACTCGGCGTCAGTCCCAATTTAAAGGCAGACAGAACAGTCTGAAAGGGGCTGATGGGTGTAACACAGCTTCACCTGAGTTTTCCAAAGCATGTGTCATTCATCAGCCTGTACTGCAGCAAATCTCAGTTCCACAGAGACCTCAGGTGATCCTTTCCATTCCTTCTGAAGCCTAACAAGCACCTGCACAAGCAGAAAGGTCTGTGCAGACTGACAGAACTGCAAATACAGGCCTGGGAAGTGGGGACAGATTTACTTTTTAAACATTAACTGCTACAACACCCCTGTCCACACAGACCTAAAAGTTTTTCTCCCAACCCTTCCAATTTCTACAATCTGGGCAGACACCATTCTTTCTCCAGTAGTGCATTTGAAGCTGCAGTGTCACACTTGGCACAAATGTACCTGTGCTGCTCCCAATTTCACCCACCCCAAGCCTGGTGTTCCCTCCCCTGAACTCTGATGCAGCTGCAGGACGAGTTATCAGCTCCTGCCCCAAAGCTGCACCGCTCTGATAGCACCGGGAGCTGCCTGGCAGGCTCTGCTGGATGGTTCTTCACACACAACTGTATTTTCCTCTCTTCTCCATCCCATTCTCTTTCTCCCTGCTGCTTTTTCCCAGTCCTCTTTCAGTCTCTATTGCCTGACTTGTGACTCAATCCAGTGAACATCTTCAGGAGTCTCTTGCCCAAACTCCTCCAGCCCGGCAGAGAATAAAAGCCAGAATAAAAATCCACATTACTCCAGATACTGAACTGGAAAACCAAGATGCACTAAAATTTTCAAAACACAAATTTCTGCAGAAACTTAGTTTAGTTCTAGGGCTCCCCAAAATTCCAGCAGCCTCCTAAGGGGTAAGAAACTACACAAAGAGACCCAACAAACCTTATTCCCAACAATCCCTACTCTAGGTAAGCCTCTCAACAGAGAGCTCGTGAAGTGCCCCTTTCTTGGACTACATTTTTAAAGCAGAGAAAGCCTTTCCAGTCAAATATTTCCAAACTGTCTCCTTACTTGTCTGTGAAAGCCAAAAAACACTGAGGGTTAGACAATTTAAAGGTATTTGTCCCTGTCCCACTTTGAGCACCAGGCAGTGACGGTTCCAAAGACAAGGAGCACCATCTCCTCACCCAGGAGTTTAGACTCAGTTTTCACTGTGAATCACAGGTTTATCTGACCCACTGCCATGAAGATCTGGGTTTATTTACATGAACAAAAGGCCAGCAGTTCCTGTGTGCACGCTCACACACTTCCATTCTTTTGAATCCTTGCTTATTTAATTACCCAGGAAGCAGAAAGCCCCTCATTGCTCTAATGTGAAGGTGTGATCAGAGTTACACTTTCAAGTGTCATTTCAAGATAAGACATTTTTGAGACAAAATGGAAAGCAGACTAATTTACCCACTAGGAGTTATCAAGTTTTGCAGCCTTCCAGTTTATCTTGCTCCAAGTCTCTACAGCTTTATTTCAACTCTCCTCCCCAGTACTTAAGAGATTTACACTCCAAGATATTCCACCTAATAAAGTGAACTGAGGGACTGCTCGACCTGAAGCAGTCATTTTCTTCTAGAAAATGTCCATTCCTAGAAGCAGGAGCGTATTTTTCCTTCAGTCTGTTCAAAATCTATGAAGATTGGATAAGGCAGAGCCCCATTTGCATTAACATTAAAGTGAAGTTCATAGCAGACCCATTATAAAACAGCTCTTGTGTAATTTAAATTCCAAGTCCCATCCAGAACCTGGAACCTATCTGCATTTCAATGCTACACTTGCTCTGACATTATGCATCATCTTCTGGGAAAAGCAAAATTCCTTGAGAAAAAAAAACAAAACAAACCTCTCATTCTTCAGCTTTAAATCAGGCAAGAACATCCACACAAGGTGAAGAGAGAAAGATCTCATTAAATGTCCTCTGTCCCTACACATCTCTAAGTCTCTGATAATGGGAATAAAACATGTTGTAATAACCACTGAGCTCCCAGAGAGAGTTGTTAATCAACCTGTAAATGTACACATATACAATTCCACCCCACACACAAAGCTGTGCATTTGCTTTTATTCTTTATCCCAGCAAATCAGCAACACAGGCACAAAACCCCTTCAAATTTTCTGCCCAAAAGAGAGAAATTTGCACAGGAATTGAGCTGTCTGACTTATGAGACTCTCAGGTTCCAGAAAAATAATTAGGGGCTTGGAGGTCACACAGTAAAAGTATGAAAACTGCCTGACTGCCTGTAAAATAATTTAATTTTGACAGTTTCAAGCCATGTCTTCAAGGTTTTAAGACCTGTCTGCCACCCCACAAGGTTCTTCTGTATTTTGGAAAGCCTACAAGTCTACAAGTAGCAAAGCAGAAATGAAAAACACAAGTTGAGGATTTTTAAAGATCTTTGAGCTCTGTTTGCAGTAGTATTTTTACAATATTTCAGTGAATGCATGTTTAGATACAGAAGTTAACTCAATATAGACTTTGTATCTAAATCAACTCTGAAAAAGAATCTTTTTCTAAAGAATTTGTGTCTTCACGGATTCTTCTATAACATTTAACAGCATAATTTAGAAAAGATATTTATTAAAAAAAAAAAGTCGATCTCCCACAGAATCTATAAAATGGTTTGTAAAACCACGAAGGCTTTGCCTTGCAGACACCAAAGCCAAGTGGCCTCACAAAGGTTCTGCAACCCATTTAAAACATATTTGATAAATTTGAGATTTCAGGAGTTTTGCACTCGCTAAGAATTAAGAATATGAATGTGAACTTTAATTTTTGGATCCTGAAGCACCTACTTTGAAAAAAACCTTGACTGATGATCTCATGACAACGAACAATTTTAAAAACAAATATACCTCTTCTGGCATAATTGGTATCCATATCCTTAAAATGCACCATCACAAAATCTGAAGACTTGAACAGGATACTCTCCAGAATGTCTTCACGTTTTGGCCCCAAACTGGATTCTGCAGTTTTCCGATGAGCAGCATCAACCACCAAATCACACTGTGGGACACACAGAAAGGCTCTCAATTAATGCACCATCAGCTACTCAATAAATTCACCTACTTGCAAAAAAAACCCCAGACATTTACAATCTGCTTGTGCAAGTAGTCAAAATAATTCACAGTAAATATTCGAATTAAACAAAATAGTCACGTTTTAATCAAACACTGATTATCAGGAGCTTTGAAAATAGAGTCAAAATGTAAAAAAATTACCTTAGGACTGTAGGTTTTAAAAACTCCTTCATATATACCACCATTTTTCACCTGTACTTCACATTTGGATCCCTAGAACGCAAGAAAAATGAAAATATAACTTTCTACGAGACAAATGACATTTCAGTGATTTTCTTAAACATCTATTCCTTACATAAGTGCATTGTGTAAAAAAACAGCTCAATCTTCAGTCAGATCTCCTCGTTCAGCACCTGCCAATTTACAGATCCACTGCTGTGCTCTGCAGCTGCAAACAGCTGGGTGTGTATGTGCTGCTCTGGAGGGATTTAAAGATACTCACAGGAGCATATTTGGTTCTTACAAGACTCTTGACCAGTTAAAGCACAAAGAAGTTCTTGCTGAAAACCAAGATCTGTGCATGTGTGGGTACAAAAAAGGATGAAAGCTTAACCTGGACTCAAGGAGATGGGGGACTTAATTTTGGCATGTCAGGACTTCCTCTGGAATCTGGGAGAAAGGGTTCTAATCCCTGCACACAGACCCATTTTATTTACCCATAACCTCTCTAAAAACGGAAAATTCAAAATATGACCAGTGCACCTAAGAAATCTGCTGTACCTCTACAAATTAAAATCTTTCCAAGTCAAAAATACAGAATTACTGAGATCAAGTTGGCAGAAAGTGTCTTAAAATTTAATATTCCCTCCATCGTATTACAATTACTGGACTAGTTAACAATTCTCTGTCACTACAGGAACTGTTTCCCCTCTTCCAAACATGAAGACTTACAACAACTGATGTGAGTATGTGAACCATTCTCATATTTGCATAGATGCCATCGAAAGAAATCTGAAAAATAAGAAAGAAATCATGAATACAGGAGAAAAACTTGTAACAATTCTAAAATTCAGAGCACCCAAACCAATGCTGGCCTTCACATGAGTTCCTAGAAACACTGGTTCAAAGCCTTACTCAGGCAACATACATAGAATGTATATTTAAATTAATATTGAATATGACACAGGAGATTTCTAAAGGACCATTAGCTTTTCTCTGACCAATTAAAGATCTAACACCCTTCCAAACAAGATAAAAATCCCACTCAATAAACAAGGAAATATCACTCAATACTGAAATTCTCTGGCTGGTTGGGTGAAGCCCATGCACAGACTCGAGGGGCGTCAGCAGGGCTTTGTTTTCTGACTGGAAGAGCCCTGCTGACATCCCTCTCTGCCTTAAGAACCATCAAGAGCAAGGCACTCCAAGTGCTGCAGAAGTGGAAAGGTGCTTTCAGGCTGCTGAACCTCTTCTTTTCAACTCCCAGCCCTGATTACACCCATTAACAGGAGCCAAAGCCGTCAAACCGTCGAGCGCCAAATTGCTACAAACCCTGTTATTAAAACAGTCCAAAGCAATTCACTGCAGCACCAGGATCTGAAACTCTGACTGGGAGAGCTCACCAGGTACCATCAGGACACATCCACTGCTGAGGATGTCTGTGCTTTGTTGCAATAACTGGTATCTCTCCCTGTCAACTCTGTGCTTGTGAAATGAGCAGGGACCTCACCATATTCTGAGCTTTTCCACTGACAACACATCTTTTCAACTGTCAGCTCCTTAATCCACTTACTGCTGTGTGCCAGCCACTTCCCTGGGCTGCAAAGACACGTCTGAGGACACTCCTGTGCTCAGCACTCAGCACACAGGACAAGAAGACCAACACTTGGATGATGTTTAGTGTTTGCATATGGCCTTTTTCACCAGACTCTCTCAAAGCTTCTTTATTTTTACTCAAGTGCCTTGATATCTTCAATAAACGTTAATATAAGTAAACTGTGGCCCTTTTAAACCTTCCTACTTCTGCTCCATACCCCCAAATTAGCCATCTTTGAAAACCAGGCCAATAACAAATGGGCAAATATTTGATTGGTGCAGTTCAAAGATCCACATCTTTAGCTCTGATAAAATGATGTTCTCCAAGTCAAGCCACATCTATACTTCAATCATATATAGCCTTGAGAATAACTAAAGACATTGGGGGTAGGAGAATACTGAGTTAGCAATTTTATAGTAAAGCTAAACAAAATAGTTATTTTTATTTAATTAAATGCTGTCTTAAATCTCTTTAAGGGAGAAGCCAATGTTAGAATCTCCAAATAGGAACTAGTTCAAAAAGCACTGCCTCAAGCTAAATGTTATTCACATCTACAACTAGAATTGCAGGAAAATGCAGAATATTTATGTAAGTGTAGTCAAAAGTTTAAGAGAACCTTCCACCCTTCACCCTCCCAGGAGACTTAAATGAAAGCAAGATGCTACTCTTTAGAAAATTGTATCTCAGTCGAAAGTATCCAAAGGAAAAAACTGGGAGAACATTCCAGTATCTGCTATTCTTATGTCTCTAGGTTGTTTCCTCTTACCAGGAGTGGTACAACGAGGAGAAACCCCAAACTTACCGTAGGCTGAGGTGGTCCTTTGCCACTGCTGCGGCCTCTGGAATTAAACACACACAGGGGATGTGATTAAAACAACTGCCCAAACTGCTGCATTTCTTACCACATAAGAATTCCAAACCCCATCTTAATACAGAGTTGAGAATGGGATCAGGAAAACCAGCATTCCCATAGAGCAGAACCTGACAATTACAGGCCCATTGAGTTCATCCTCCAAATTCCTGACCTGCCAGCAAGTGCCTTTAGCAGGCAGGGGGTTACTTACAATAAACTAAAGGAGAAAATGAAAAAAATACTAAGCCTATGCCATTGTTCCAAATTCCAAACCTTACTGGCACACAAAACCAAACCTCAGTTCAGGCTCAACCCCTACTTAGGAGGGTCCTTCTCTGAGGCTCTGAACTTGTCACTGTGTCAGATGAAGGGCCACCCAAATAACTGAGGAGCCCTGGTTGTGAGGCTCTACCCACAGAGCTTGTTTCCAACTGCTCTCACAACCCAGCAAGATAAAGTAATTAAGTCTGTCCATCCCCTCAAAAACACTGACTCCTTTTAACGCAAACCTGCCTATGTGCAGCACTCAGGACACTTCCATGAGCTTTTAAATTAACCTGGATGCTCGGGATACCCTGCAAGCTGAGCTGGATCAGTCTGTGCCCTTCACCTCAGCCATCTGAGTCCCAAAACATCCCTGCAGCTGGTTAAGTCCACAACAGCTCCAGTTCTTCAGATCCACTGGTGTGTCTTAATTCTAAGTTCCTTCCTTGTACCAAGAAGTCCCAGTTTCAAATGCTTCTCATAGTGATTTAGATACTCTCCAGAGTATGTTACAACTTCAGGAGCGCCCCAAGCGTAATGTGAGGCAAAATTAAGTCTTCTACTGAAAAAAAAATCAGTTTTTAAAAAAGAACCACCTTATTGATGCACAACCATTTCATTAAAGAGACACAAAGAATCACGTCCATATTTCAAAATATCCAAACAACACTGAAATCTAAATCCCACGGAATGGCATGGAATCCCAGAATGGTTTGGGCTGGAAAGGATCTTAAAGATGATCTCAATCCAAGCCCCTGCCATGGGCAGGGGCACCTTCCACTAGACCAGGTTGCTCAGAGCTCTTGAACACCTTCACTGGATGTCAACTGCATTCAACTGCTTTTGAAAACATCAATCTACCCCTCAAAATAACATGCCCTTAAAAATAAGGCTCATGGGACAGTCAAGAAATCAAAGGATCTTCTCTCCCAATGAACATAAATAACTCTCCAATAAATTCGGTAGAAATAAAGGCCATCAGAGAGCCATGAAAGGATTTAATGAAGAAAAAGTGAAAACTCACTAAACTATCACCTGCCTCCTTTAAGAAAACAAGTTTCTGCAACAAAATGTGGTCTCAGAGCATCCCCCACACTGGTGACATCTGCTGATGGCAGGACCTGCAGATTTGGGGGGCCCAGCAGGCATTCTCAGAATATTGCAGAATACTAATCTCACAGAAAAAAACCCAAATTCTAATGCAAATAATCTTTATTTAACTACCATCAGCCTGAACTGTCCATAGAAGCTTCACAACTTCACCTTGCTCTGGAGACAAGAAACTCTCACCATTTCCTAAACCTGCCATTTGTTAAATGGCAACCTGGAACAGCATTTTTGCATAAAATTCAGAGGAATCATCCCTCTGTTTCTGAAAGTCATTTCACCAGACGAGAAACCCCCAAACAAGAGGTTCAGTCCAGTTCTGACTTGTCCTTCTATTACAATCAGAAACGGAACCACCACGGCCGCTCACAGGACTTGGCCAAAGTCAACCAATTTCAGCAGTTCTATCTGTTGGTCTCAAGGATTTTAGATCCTCCTTCTTCATCAGCTACAGAAATGGTCAAAAGGGAAAGAGTTTGGTGCCTTTGCAATAGAAACCATCCCATTTTTAGTGACAAAGTATTCTTAGAACTTAAATAACTGGGTTGCCGGACTGGTCAGAAAGTTTGGAGCGTTCCCTCCAAGCATCAACCCAACTGTTCTGGATTTTCCATCTCTTACCACATTTCCAAAATTACTCTTCCTACCCACATTTCTTTAAGAAATAAACTGCTTGTGCACATCCATGCTGGCAAGAGGTCCCAAATTCTACATCAGCCAAGGGTTAAGGTACCTGCAGAAATTCTTTATGTTCCTCTGATCTAACATATCTCTTTAAAGACCTGGCCTCTTGTTTTTCAGCTTGTGTTAAACATAAACCATTGGGAAAAAAAGGGAAGACATTCACCAAGAGGAAAAAAATAAAGATATTCACCAATCCAATTCAACAATACAGCCAAAACTGTGTCTTCTCCTAAAACTGAGGCCATCACTTGAGTTTCATATTCCAATAGGCAAAGACTCAAGTTCAAACTACCCTTTGACACATCTTTGATGTATCAAATGAAAAAAAAAAACACTTAAAACCTCTGCAAAAGCAGAATGCAAGTGGGTTTTGCCAGAAGTTTAACATAATTTAGAACAAGAGAGTAAAACTAAGAATGGGGGAATCCAGAAGGGTCAGTAGTAATTTGGCACTGCTACCTAAAACCCCATTTTCATTACAGCAAGTATGGAAAATTAAAAAAAAAAAATGCACTTTGCATTGCAGAAATCTGGTTAAAGGTAAACCTGGGCAGCTTGGCAAACCCAACCTGGAAACCCTTTGCTTTGGGGTAGCAAAGACATAAAATCAGAAAGTACCATCAAGCAATTACACTTAGTAGCCAACTCCTTCAGTCCAGCACTGACACCTGAAGAGTCAAAGTCTCCAGCAGGGCCCAAATGCTGCACAATAAATATTTTTCCCCAGCAGCAACTTACACATTTTTTTCTATTTTTATGAGTATTTCCTACCCTATTCCTCACATCCCTCCTCCTCCCTATGTTTACATGCCAAGTAGAGCGTTTGTATAAGCAAAACAAGGTCACACATTTATATTTTCCCAGTTAAGTGAAAACTAAGGCAAGGGAAACAAAGTCCTGCATGTGAAAGAAAGTCTCAGCTTTTCTCTCCAGTGGCATCTTCACTTTGAGACTAAGAAATAAATGCAATCACCCTGCAATTAATGCCTAGTGCAGAAGTGCAGCTACAAAGAGTACTCAATTTAAGAGTGAATGGATGTTTCTGGAGCACTGATCTTACTGCAGCTTGGAAAGCAAATTTACAGGATATTCCAAAGAATTCTAGTGCAGAGAGCTGGGAAAGCTTTTCTTCTGAGGGACAAGTCGGAAGTACAAGGTTTTATTTCAGTGTAGTGTTCGGCTGTATAAAGTCAAATGAACCGAAGCTGTCAATTAAGATTATGCAAGTCCTGCAGGTTTGTTTTCTGTAGTTTTTTCCCCCACTACTGACATCAATAATGTCAATTCCTGTTTCCACAAGAAATGACAGCTTCTGTAGTATCTGGATATGGAATAACCTGCGCCCAGTCTGACCCAGTGCACACCAGTAACCTGCTGATGGGCTTAGTCACTGTAGAACCTTCTTCATCTACATTGCCATGAATCAGTTGTTAAATTAAAAGTTACTCAAAATCAGGGATATAATATCATGCTGAAGTGCATTCTCAGTGATAAGGGAAGAGACCTGCAGGTTAACCAGGCATTTTGCTCAGCAGTTTTGCACAGTTGCACTAAAACCCACACAAAGACGTGAGAACAAACTAGAAACCCTCTGAATGGCACGTGTGATCAGCCCTCCAGAACAGTCACTCCCATTATATCCCACTGCCTTGGCACTCAATATTCCCAATTCCTTCAGTCTGAACAGGATTGACACCTCTCCTGGCCTTTCCTTAAGCTTATAAAAAAGGATGTCAAGGAAAAAGGAAAATAAATGTTGGCAAGAAGTGTGTGTAGCTCGTTTTTGATACTTATCCATGAGATTATTTCAGTTTTAGTTTTTAATGGGAAAAGCCATTTTTAAAGGGTAGTACTTTAGTGTCTTCTCAAATGACCCCCAAGTCCAGCTAGGCAAGAAAGTTACCAAAATGAAAAATCCCTTCTGCCACAATTGTAACCAAAACCTGAGTCTTTGCCCTCAACAAAATAACAATGGGGGAAATTAATAACAAAAAACGATGAAGAGCTTGGAGGAAGGCTGGGATGGATACAACTTCCAACCAGAGGGCAGCCAACCCTCCTGTGCTTGCATAAGGACAAAACTCAGACACAAAAAGCAGATGTTAGATAATGTTCTGACCAGCACAGGGAGCAGGTTTGGGAACCAAGTCCACACTTTCCCCAATTACAGTTCATTGTGCTCTTGGCATCTCCCCTTCAGCCCCAGCCCACCTGCCATATCAAACCCAGCATTTCATTTGGGGCCTCTTCATAAAAAAGGTATTAATCTTTCATTTTTCTTGAACACTTCTAAAGGTACCTTCGTTTCTGATTTTTCCCCTTATGTAAAGGGGAAATTAATGGTATAATGAAAACCCCTGGAATGCCTTGTTTGTTCACACAAGATTTTACCTTTCCCAACATGAAACAGAGATGTCCATCACTGTGAGCCCATGGAGACCAACACCCTCCACTCATGATCAGAGGTACAAGGACGAAAAGCTCAGCCCAGTTCTTACAGCAATAAACTCCCAGCAGAAAATTAGGCCCAGGACAGCTAATTATCCATGAGCTTTCTGCCCAAACTAAGCTTTTAAAAGCAACTTAGCCATGAAAAGTAACATTTTCTTGTATTTAAGGTAAGAAAGGGAATGCTAGGGCTGCAGGGAAATGAGCTGCTGGGAGGAAAGCTTGGCAAAAACCGGAGATGTTTTAAGTTTCTATTAAATGATACAATGCATCAGATTGGTATGAAGATGCAGGCCACCTAAATTTTGATTTTGTAAACAGAAAAGCCACTCAGCTTTTCATTTACATGGACAGATTTGCAGCACGAATCATCCTTGAATTTGTACTCCCAAAAAGACAGGACTTCTCTTCAGGACAGCAATAGGATAAGTTCTCTGAAGGTGTTCCACGGGGCTGTGATTTTACAGACCCCTCATTCAGAAATAACTTGAAAAATTAACAAAAAAGATGGGAAGACCTCTGTCAGTTGTTCAGCAGCCCCACCAGGACTCCTTAAGGAGTTCTGAGGTGGGATTTCTCCAGCAAAACTGAAAATACAACACTGGTAGGAGAAATCCAGTGGCTTTGAGATTAAACTTGGGAGTGAAATTGAAGTTCAAATGCCCAAATCTAGACAGGCAAGTGCTCCTCATCAGACTGAATTCCAAAAAAATCAGCTGTGGGTTTTGTTGCCCTTCACGTTAACCTCTACAGTGCCACTGTGCGCTGGCAGGGACAGAGCACAGCAAACATCACGTCCAGCCCAATGCCACATGTAAAACCCATCAAATGGGTGCCCTGAGCTGCCAAGGTAATGTTGTTGTTATTTATTTTGTCCTTTTCAACCCTTCCAAAGCTCTTCCGCTTCCAGTTCCACGGGCTGGGAACAAAGTAAAGCCCCATTTCCAGTGATGTCCAACAATGGGGCCACTGTAAATTCCGTTTTATTGCCAGGGCCCAAAACTGAGTGGGAATAAACGTTCAGCTGAGGAGGAAGACGAATAAAACCCGAAATGAAACTGCTCTGAGCGACTGTGACCTTCAGAACTGTTACCGTCCCACTCTGATCGTTTGTTATGACCCCCACAGCCCCGGAAAAATTCACGGCACTACCAAGTTTATTATTTGAGGGAGAGGAAAGGGAAAATAGGTGTGGGTTTATGTACGTAATACTAAGGGAAGGAGCGGGATGGATCTTCCAGGGGCAGCGAGTGCGGGGCGAGGGGGGGCGGAGGGGGAGGCGAGGAGAGGGGAGAGCTCATCCTCTGCAGGATCCCTGCCCCAAAAATCCGGGAGAAGGCGAGGCCTCGGAGCCACCATCCAGCGGCGCGGCCTCGCCTGCCTTCCCGCGAGAATCTCACTGCGCTTCCCATTTAAAAAAAAAAATAAATAATAATAACAAATAATATTAAAAATGAGAATTATAAAAATAATAATACAAGTAAAAATAAAAACTAATAAGAAAAAATAATCACACCCCCTAGATGTTAAAATAAATAAATACACACACACACACACCCCGGGTGAGTCGAGGGCGCCGCGCCGCCATCGCGGGGCCCCGGATCGCCGCCCCCTTTCCCCGCCCGGGCCGCCCCCCGGCCCCGCCGCCATCGCCCGCGGCCCTTCCCGCGCCGGCCCCGGCACGTGCGGGCCCCGCGCCCCCCGCTCCCCCCGCGCCGCCTCGGCAGGCGGGTCACGTCGGCGCCCCCCGCCACGGAGCCTCCCCCGCCGTGCCCTCCCCGCGCCTGAAGGGCAACCCGGCCGCGGCCCGGCCTCGCCCCGCCACTGCGGAACCCCCTCGGCGGGGCCGCGCCCGCCGCCATCGCGGCCCCCGCCCCGGCCCCGCCATGCTGCGGGCCCCGCNGAACAGATGTCGGGTTTTCTCTGCCACTGCACTGACAACATTTTTGTCTCCTTATCAATAAAAAAACTTTTTAAAGGGAGAAAAGGAAATCATCATGGTACGAAGGAAGGAAGGGACCACAAGAAAGAAAATCCGTAAATTAGACAAAATTATGATCCACATGCAGACCTCCTGCCACCAGTTATATCTGCACCTCTATAAGCAAATAGATATGATGGTATGGAAATTAGGAGACAGTACAATTGCCATCACCATCTCCATCTGATATCGTGTCAGATGGGTAAGGTTTGGCAAAGAACTCGCTCTCCTGTGAATTCTGAGGGGGGAAATCAAAGCCCAGCCTCACCCTCCAGCAGCAGGAGCAAACCTGAACCCTCCCTCCAAGCTGACACTACTGTGGTTTCCTCCTGCTGTCGGTGGTACTGATTCTGGGGAGGCCAAACCCTGAGTACTGCGTGGGGAGAGACCCCTCAAAGCCAAAAGAAGAGAAGGCTTCTCTCCCTCCTGCTCCTTCCCGAAGTTTTAAAACACCATCACCTGATTTAAGGGGAGAAATCTGCCCTGCCTCACTCTCAGCTGTGACAGGAACACAGTGCCCTCTCCAAGCCCTTCCAGGGCCAAGACTAGGACTTTTTTATTATGGAACTATCATTCTGTTTAACACTTCCATGGTTAAGCATTGCTTGAAGCTCAGTTCCTTGTTTACTTCTCCCTCCCACCTGCACGTGCAAGAGGAGCCCCGTTGCCCCCGGCAAGGGTGTAAAGCAGAACTACCTGCAAAACTCAACACTTTGGGCAAACCTCAAGCAAACAAGAGGAGACCCAAGGCCATAAAAATTGTGGGATTTTCCCTCTCCAATTATTTCTCCCACTAACAGCCCAGGGCAGCGTTCTGGGGAGGACTGAGCAATTCCTACAACCAACAAGGCTGGACTCGGTGTTGTTGCTGAGGAGAAAGAGGATCTGGGAGGCTCAGGGGTTTCTCTGGTTAACTGAAGTGAGATCAATAATAACCATATTAATAAATAATGGGTTTAATAGCAGCAGGATAGAGGCAGCAAACTGCAGGCAGGTACTGGGGGGGGAGGGAAAAGCATTAATTATCCACACAATGCCAGCACTCCAAGCACAGCTAAAAGCTCACTCTGGGAAGATTACCACGACAGACTGACAACTCTCACTTGCACACAAGCATTTCGGGTAAAATTCAATTTTCTGGCTGTCACAGTCGAGAGGAACACCCTGCTGTCTACTATTTCACATTAATAAACTCAGTAAAGGACACAGGGGATGGGGGGAGATTGTTCTCTTCCTTCCCTGCCTGCAAGTTGCAGAAGAACAAAAGCAAAAGGGGAGTTTTGGGGAGCAAAGGCATGTGCTTTTTCCAAAGCAACTCCAACCCGCTCCATTTCTCCTCTCCGGGAAAGTGCACATGCACTCCCGGCTCTTATATAAACACAGGAGGGTCAGCGCCTGGCTGAGATTCCCCACCACGGCTAAAATAAATACGAGGTTGTCTTTTAAACTTCACTCCTTCCCACCCCAGAGAGAGAGGAGGGGAGCTGAGGGGTTCTCCCCTCTGTGGGTGCTCGGGGGCTGCAGCTCAGCACCCTCCAAGGTCGGGCACCTCGTCCTGCCGCCCGTCCCGGACAGGCGGGCGATGCTGGTGCAGCAAACGGGACCTTGGCGTGTGTGTCCCCCCCCCAAAAGGAGCCCAGAGGGATGAACACAGGGAAAACACACTCCCTGCATGTCCCGCTCCCACAAAACCCCCCGTCCCCCTTCCCGAGGGGGACGCACAGAGCGGGGACGCGCTGGGGACGCTCAGGGGACCGCGGTGGCTTCGTGCCATCCCCATGCGCTGCTGGGAGCGGGGAGCCCGCGGGGTGCGGAGCCCTGACGGGATGCTCCGGGCACGGGGGACATCCCGGGGGGCGCGGTGTCCCTCGGGAAAGGATATGGATTACAGACCAGCCTGAGGCACCAGCTGCGCGGGCGGGTGGTTTGCTTGAGGCAGAAGAAGGCGGTGGGTGCCAGCGCCGGGTAAGGCACCTGCTCCTCCTCCTCGGAAGCCAGGTCGGGCGGCGGGTCGCGGCCGGGGGAGCCGGCGGGGCTGGAGCCGGAGCCGGTGCCGGCATCCTCGGGCGGCTGCTCGGCGGGGCGGCGCGGCGGCGGCGCGGGGATGGGCACCCGCACCTCCCCGGCCGGGCGCGGCGGCTCTCGGCTCTCGCCATCACTCATGGTCGCGGCCAGGACCTGCGGGGCAAGGGCAGGGGGTCAGGGGCTGCGGCCCCCCCGGCGCCGGGGAAGCTCCCGCCGGGTCCCGGCGCTGCAGCCACAACAAAGGCGGGCGGGGGGAGGTCGGAGCCTCCGCCCGGGCGCGGCCGCTCCCGCCCCCCGGCGAGCTGGGGCTCCCCCCGGAGAAGCTCCGCCGCCCCCAGGTACCCCCTCCCGGCTTCTCCCTTTATATTTTGGGGGATGGAAAATTGCTTGTGGGGTTTGGGGGGGTGTGTGTCCTACCTTAGTTCGGCGGAGCGCGGTGTTCCCAGGGGCATAGCCGTGCCTTCCAGCTCACATGGGACCAGGCGGCAATCGGGGCTCCGGGAGGCGGCGGAGCTTCCCCCCCCCAGACACGGCAGCACCCCCAAAATCCAGCGGGGGGGAGGGGGGAGCCGGGGCTCGGCGTGCGGCGCCCGCCCGCAGGGATGGAGGATGGAGGAAGGCTGGCGAGGAGGAGGATGGAGGAGGAGGAGGAGAGGTGGCGGCGGGAGCCCTTCCCGAGCCTCGCGGAGCCTCTCCCGACGGTAAATCCCAAGGAGCGAGCGGGGAGCTCCGCAAAGCTTCGCCCGCGCTGAACAGGAAACTTCGGATTTACCGGGGGAGGAGGGAGAGCGGAGGGGAGGGGAGGGGAGAGGCGGGGGCGGCGGGGGCGGGCGAGCGGCGCCCGCGCCGGGACCAGAGCGGGAGCCGGGGCCGGTCCCGCGGCACTGCGCACCCACCTGCCCATGTTCTGCCTGCCCGCGGCTGACGGGAGGCCGGGGCCGCCGCCGCCGCCGCCGGGGGGCTTGCGGTTGTTGCCGGCGGGCTGCGCCGCCGCCGCCGCTTGCTTGAGGGACATGGCGAGGAAGGAGGGGAGGGAGAGCGCCGGGGGTCGCGCCGGGCTGTGGGTGCGCTCGGCCGGTCCGCGCTGCGCTGGCGGGGCCGGGGCGCCGCTGGCTCGGCCGGTTGCTCCCAAACAGTGCGAGCGGGGCGGAGGGAGCGGAGCGCGGCGCGGAGGGATCCGCGGGAGGGGGGGAGGATGAAGGGGGGGCGGGCGGCGGCCGCGCCGCGCCGCGGTCCGAGCAGAGCAGCGGGGCCGGAGGGGCGCGGCGGCCGCACCCGCGGGCTCGGGGCTGCCCCGCGGGGCCGGCGGGGCGGGGGCAGGGGGCGCGGGGCGGGCTTGGGGCGGGCTGGCGTTGCGGACTCTTTACGGGAAGTCGGAGGGCGCGGCGGCGGTGCTGCGGCGGGTGAAGGGGCGGGGAGGGAGGGGGGACACGTGAGGCGGCGGCGCGGGACGGCGGCAGCGCCCGCCCGGCCCGGCCCGCCCGTGAGGCCCCGGCGGTGCCGGAAGGGCCCCCAGCCCGCACAACCCCCCGCGCCCGCCGGTGGCACCGGGAGGGTCCCCCCTGCACCTCCCGGTGCGGCTCCCGCGGGCGCGATCCCCGCGTTGCGGCCCCGCAGGCCGCGGCCTGGTGCGGCCCGGCCGCGCTCGCCCCTCCCCGGGCCCCAGCGAGCGGCGGTGGGAGGGCGGCGGGCTCGGCCCGCAGCGCATCGTTCAAAAGAAACCAGGCGGCGAGAGACAACGAAATGGAGGAAAAATGGCCGAGCCCTCGCGGGCTGTGAAAGGCCGGGGGAGAAGCCAGGCCCTGCAGAGCGGCCCCTGCCCTGAGCCGCAGAGATCCCGAGCCGCCACCACTAAACACATCCCACCGCCGTCAAACACAGCCCTCCTCCGGGAGGACGGCAAGATGGGGCCGAAGGGATGGCTGCTTCCCGTGCAGTGCCCCTCCATCTTACAGGTTCTGGAGCAGAGAGGGCTTCCCCGAATGTTAAAGACATTAAAATTTGCATTGCACTGACAGATTAAATATTTGAGATGCTCCGTGTTACCTGTCCACCATCACCAGGCTCCCTGCAGGAATCCACAGTGCAGCAGCTGTGTGTGGAACCTGAGAGTGGTAATTTCACCAACTCATCCCAATACACAAAAATAAAGCCTGGCCTCTCCTATTAAAAACCAAATTATGCACGTACAGGATTAGTAAGAGCAGATGCAACTTGAAAACCAAGAGCTAAATTGATTTATAGCCATGGTTACTCGAAATGCTCCGAGTTTAATCTATTCATAGAAATGCTCTAGAAATCCCACAGGATTCCAATGGAATAAAAAGGAGCAGTGCTCTTAGGCAGGCATTATTTATACACCTTGCTCCTAAAGCAACAGCTTTGCCGTGCACTTGGAAGAGTTGTGGGTGGCACACAATGGGGAAAAGATAACAAATATTCAACAGCTTTCTTAAATTAGCATTTTCCCTACAATTTTGACTGTTAAACTGATTGTTTTATTTTACCTCACAGGCCCAAGGAACCTTGTGGTTAACACATTATGAGCTGAATGACAGATACTACCCAAAAGGGGCTCAGCATGAAAAATTTTCCCATTGAAAATACTCTTAAACAGAGCCAGTGATTTAAGGAAACTACATTTTTCAGTCATTTTAGTGAACTCACAAGACACTTTGCTACTTCACAGCCACAAAACCAAGGGAGGACACTGAGGATTTCTGCAGCCCAAGAGTTTAGGAGACACCAACACTTGCAGAGCCAAAGGCAGCTTGTCCTACCACTGACTGGCAGAAATTTTGGGACCATTCACTGTAAAAACAGAAGTCTGATTCACTGCATATGATGGGATAAGAGCAGCTAAGAAAAGACCTTCCTATATATATATGTGTATATATATATATGTAAAATCCACTAGCATAAAAAACACTTAACCAATATAAGACAATACATAACAATATAAGACTAATATATCACCATAATAATATATAACAATATAAGAAAGATATACAGCTGTTAGAGAGTGCCCAAGGGGGCTACAAAGATGCTGAAGGGTCTGGAGTGGCACTGAACAGGCTCCCCAGGGAATGGTCACGGCCCCAAGGCTGACAGAGCTCAAGGAGCGTTTGGACAACGCTCTCAGGGACAGGATGGGATTGTTGGAGTGTCCTGGGCAGGGCCAGGAGTTGGACTGGATGTGTCTTTTGGATCCCTTCCAACTCAGGATATTCCGTGTTTCTATCAACCAACCTCCTTAGGGTACTGTTTATAAATTCTTCCACAGCTTTCGTGGACCTCAAGCAAGGAGCACTCCCTAATTCCTGCCACACTGGGAGAAATGCAGCAGGAATGGAACTAGAAGAGCCAAGATTACTTGCACTCAGTGTGTTTCATCAGTTTTCATTTGAAAAGAAAGTTACCAACAGAAAGCAGGAGGAAGTGTGATAAGAGATTGGTTGTAACACATCCAGGTCACTTCATGTTAGGTTTTTTTTTTTTTTTAAAGGACATTACTTCAATGCTTTTTTCAGCCAAGAATGTTTACAGCTCCCAGCAATTAGCGACTATTTATGAGGCTAAAGGTTTAAAGGTTAAGAACCATTAAAGCACCTGCAGTGGTTTGAAGAGGCAGCCACACTGTGGGGTCCTGCTGGCAAAGAGGGAGCCCTTGATATTCAGAAAACACAGGAATAAGTTCCACAGGCAGGGATGGTTTCTAAGACGTGATACAAACATACTAATGTACATTTTAGGGTGCCATTATGTGCTGGGAAAGCAGGATATGAATAGACTGGTGTTCACTCTGCAGTAATGACTCAAGTGCAGTTGCAGTTTGACTTGTTTTCTCCTTCAATGTCTTCTTTGTTTTGTTAAGCTCTGTTTGGCTTTCATTGTGCCCTCCCTTTGCTGTTTGTTGAGCATCTTCATAAAAAAACCCACCTTAAAAGTAAATATAGAAGTGAACAATTAAAATAATAGCTCCAGCAGGAAGGACCACCAGAGAACCTGCAGGTTGGTTTCCAGTGGCAGTGGGATTCTCCAGTGACCACCAGCATGGACAGTGCTCTTCACCTTCCTGTGCTGAGCACATGTACAGGGAATCACCCAAATTTCCCATGTAATGGGATTTTACTGCTGTAAGGGCACACAATTCCCTTTACTTCTCCCTGCATACCATTCCCAATATTCTGTGTTTATTATTTTATGGCTGGGCTCTATCAATTTCTCACCTTTTTTTTGCTCTTCCCTACCATTACAGCTGATATTTTGGTTGTCAGTGATGTAACAAAGAACAGCCAACAGTGGATATGATGATCTGGCTGTAGAAATATTCAGGATTCAATCACCTGTTCTGTGGTCAAAAAAGAAAAGCAACAATTCCTAATGGAGAATCATGTCCTATTTTGCCTTTCCTGTCCACAGTCCAGGTTTTTCCAAGAATCCAGTTTCCATTCAGATCTGTGACTCCGTGTGCAGGCTGAATTTGCATAGGCAGATGAATGAGCCTGATAAAATCATTACTGAGCAGGAAGTGCTACGTGATGTAACATTTCCTTGATCTAACCTGCTCTTGGGTCTTATGCTCCCTTCCTTGAGCTACCCAGGGTGATCCTCAACAGCCCTCAGCGAGACAAAACATGCCTGGATACAAAGGGACAGCAGCACAGGGATTTATTTGGAGCGAAATCAGCTGCTGGAGAAGCTCAGAGAACTGAGCATTTCTACACACGTGTTTTCCCTTCCCCGCACACTCTGTTCTTTAGTCCCATCACCCCGACCCTCCTCTTGGAGAATTAAGCTTTGTGAACAGTGCTGTGAGCACAGGGATCTCCAAACACTTGGAAGGATATTAGGAGAACAAATCAGGTGCTCTGACACACGAAGCACTTTCCAGAGAGATGTGATGTAGCTCGTCAGCAAAACTGCCCTGAGTTTAACTGATGACACACCAGTGGTCAAACCAGGATTGGTGCAGACAAGACCACGAGCAAAACCAAAGCACGAACCCCAAACCAACGAGGTGAGACGACTGCTGCCACCTCTGCCTTTCCTCCCCCCCCCAACCTCTGTGTGGGGTCTTCTCATTGCCTGCAGCACCCACCAAATTCACAGCTCAGCTCCAGGCGGAGCCCAGCTCCCATCAGATACAGTTTTGGACCCACAGTTGTGGTTTTACTGCTATTTCCTCCCAGTTCTCAGCCCTGCAGTATCCTCCTCCAGGTCAGTGCTGCCAGGGCATGGATGTCCCTGCTGAACCATGTGTGCCAGCTGCTTCTCCTGCAACCAACAGGAGATGAAGGAAAATGCTTATGTCCATCCCTAATGTCCATGGAGCTCAAGAGAGAAGTGCAGAAGCTTATTTCAGCTATAACCAACTCTTTAGGGACTGTTGCTCTTAATTTCCTCAGAACACTGGACAAGGGCAATTCTTTCCTGGAGCAGCAAAGCTCCAGGATCTGTGTGACAAAGCCGTGGGTTCAGAGGGATTGTTTGGTGACAGAGCTGCAAACTGGGAGACACCAACTGTGCCCAGCAAAACGCCAGGAAATCATCACCCAAGCCCTTTACTCTTTTAGATTTCACATTTTTAGAAAAGGGAGGGGGGAACTCAGCCTGCTAAGCAGCAGCAGCAGCAGCACACAAAGCAATCGTTATGCCAAGATTTAGCTCTCAAATCCCTCAAGATCTGGTGCTCACAGAGCATAAACAACCTTTGCCTCCCAGCCTGGCCGAGCGGTACCTCCGCGTTTCTCAGCACAGCTCCACAGCCCCTCCAATACCCATCCTCTCCCAGCCCTGTGCTGAGGCAGGCGTGCCAACAAGAAAGCCAGTTGCCATGGCATTTTTTCCCCCTACAGACAGATGTCCATTAAAAACCAAGTCAGTCTCAGGTTTGCTTCACAGAGCAGCTTTCAGTTATTATTACCAGCCCGCGAGGAATTTCCACTGTGCCCCTTCACCTCAGATGTTTCAAT